AAATTCGCGCGCTGTATATTTTTCGATATTTTAAGTTTATGTAGTTTGGCAGCAATTAAGGAAAATTACTATGCAAAATGAGCGCGATCTGTCAGACAGTTCGTTTACGGCAGCTGTTGAAACCAGTTCACCTCAGTAGTGCGTTGCGAAAAAAACAATGGAAAAAAATATTGGACAAAGAGTTTGCATCAAATTTTGTGTTTCGAACGAAATTTCGTGTGCAGAATCGTTGCGAATGCTACAAAAGGCTTATGGGGAATCAGTTTTATCGAAAACTCAAGTTTATGAGTGGTACAAAGCCTTTCAGGACGGTCGTACGACCGTCGAAGACATTTCGCAACGCACTACTGAGGGGAACTGGTTTCAACAGCTGCCGTAAACGAACTGTCTGACAGATCGCGCTCATTTTTGGCATAGTAATTAAGGACAGTGCTGCCAAACTACATAAACTTAAAATATCGAAAAATATACAGCGCGCGAATTTTAAATGAGAATTTCCGAAAACTTTTCAGTCTTAATGTAGAAACAAACAAAGATGGGATGATACAAGAATATTTTGATGTAATAACATGTAAATTTGTTACAAACAGATAAATATATTTAAAACAAATTCCAAAAAGGCTTTGACTTAGTTGGTTAAAGTGCGCTGACTCTGAGCTTCAAATTTGGCAGGACTCGAGTTGGATTCCTGGTACTTACAGTCTCAAACAATATTATTAACAAATAATTAAATACAAGAATTATTTTCAAGACCACTGATGATTGGTATTTGACAATACTCGAAACACCTGTATGGTCAGTCAAAAATTCAATTAATTAAAATAATATAAAATAAATATTTGTTGTTGTAGTTCACTACTGTTCAAAAAACCTTTTTAAAAATAATTTAGAATATGTAAACCTCTATCATTTTGTTCTTTTTTCAGGTTAGCCTACCTTGTGCAGTCTTTCTTGGTCAGAAGTTCCTGACTTACCACTTTAAGCTTCTACATCGCTACCAACAATATGAATTCTAATGGATTCAATGACTTCATAAAAAAATTTTTTCATAAAATCGATATAAAATAATTGACGTTAAATTTGACTTTATTTTATATATATATATCAACTGTTTTCAAATATTAAATGCAAGATACGAGTACATTGGAATAAGCTTATCGAAGAAACGCAATCAATGTATTTTAACAGCATTTATAAATCTACGACCTAAATGTGTTATTTCGAAAAGGGTGCTCTGGTTAAATTACATTCTTCCATTAAAAATGTTAGTTGAATTATAGGTTAAACAAATAAATGTACATTAGTATCTGTATCTAGAGTAGGACAATTAATCATACATAGTTTGACCATTAACAACACTTTTTTATATTTTATGCTACTGTTGTCTTACTAGGAACTTAATTACCTGAAGGAAAATTCTATTTAATATTTAATAATACACAATTCTATAAACCAATGTATATATATATGAATAGAAACTATCGAGTTAAAATTAGATGAATTTAATGGAATTTATTCTCTGCCCCCTTAAACAAATATTTATCTTAATTGCCTAAATTTGCACTACACATTTATTTGGTTATTGTCATTAAAATGAATTTTTTTCTTATTGAATAATGTTGTTAAGCTTCTATTATACATAAAATGAACACACTGCCTCCGCTTTGTTTTATCGAAATTATAATAATAAACATTTCTGCCGAGTCATCATTGCAAGTTTTTTTTTAAGCCTAGAGATATGAGTATCTACAGATACAGATATACTTTTGTTTAAAAACAAAAAAGCTTTGCTCACAAATTTATTTATCGGAATTATTTCATTGTTTTTGTGTAGGGTGTTGTCAGTACAAACCGAACTTGACATATGTCATGACATATGTATAATTTATATAGTTCTAAAAAGCTTTTTTTATTTTACTTAATAAATGTATTCAAACTATAGCATCATTAAGCTGGACTAACACTACTGCAATGTACTACGGTAGCTACCAGGTAAAAATGTTTCTGTACGGCCTTTACCCTTTCTGACAGTTAGGGCTTAAATTAACCAAAATTCGCACGACAGTGGAAAATAAATGACTACTTAACTTAATATATCGAAAATAAAGATGCAACGCATAGTCAAAATTAAGTTTCAAGTGAAACCATGCATTTTTAAAAAATAATTTTCTTTCACTGATGGTTAAAGAAATATAAGATCGATAGATTAAAAAACCTTTTGCGTTTAGACGAAGACAACCAATTGCTAGATATTAACTTCTTTCATTATAAATATTTTCGAATTAAACAATTCATAAGTAAACAAAATCATAGAGATTATTATATATAAAACCATTAGCATTTAAATTGATACAATATGTTAAATCAATCACAGCCTTTTGTGATACTTTAGTGAACGATCACTTCCCTTTGAAGTTTTTGGACAGATGTAACAAAGTTTACCTGAATTTCAACCGCAAAACGGTTTTTATAGGCATTCGGAATCTGCCCATACAAAATTAGAGTGAGAGAGAGAGAAAGCATACGCTCCTAGAAGATTTTGTACCGTCACAAAACAGACGTTTCAACCAACAATGCATGAGAGACATGAAAGACAATCGCTTCATTGCGGTCTATGCTCGAGTAAAACTTACCAAAGGGTTGAAAATCATCCATAGCTGTATCTATACAATTATTCAAATAGCAATTAAAGTACTGCTTTATTAGGTAATGCTGTGCTGTGTGCCTGATCGACCTGCAATCAATGGCAATAAGTTCGCGAAAAATTAATTCTAATCAGCTAATTAATTTTGTGAACTGGATGCTCTAGATGTACTAGATTGAAAAGTTTTTTGTAACCAAAATAAGTCACTTTTGGAGAATACTACTCTACTTAATCACTAAGTTGACTAGCTGGATAGTCTATGCTTAAAAAAAACTTAAAAAGCAACTACGGTAAAGTATTTCTGTTTAAAAAAACCGAAGGAGATGGCTATTGACATGTAAGTTTTAATCCTTCTAGACCGCAGACTCGTATTCCCTTTAAAGAACTCGTCATTTCAGCCTTTATTTGAAGATCTTGATATTTTCTGTTTAATTGAAGTTTATTGCATTACAATAAATTTATAATATTACCGTTGTGTTGCACTTCAGTGAAAGTCGGTACTCTGTTAGTATCTTGTCTACTTTATAGAAAAGTTTGATAAGATTATATTAAACAATGTTAGTAGTATTTGGGATGAGCGTAGTATTCTCTATTTCAGATGCAATTTAAAGCACATTAATATTAGTTGAATATTTTAATAATCTATAAAAAATAACAACAAGATACCGAAATGCAAATACCTTTTGTATACATTTACCATATATGGCATTCATGAATAGAATTTTTACATATCGAGATTGAACTTCTACTATATATAGGTGACATGACAACATAATGTATTTTGTAAAACTATTTTATCGCATTATTCTAATCAAGACAATCAATCTATATTATAAGAAAAATTGTGTCAACGGCTTCTGAGGTTTATATTTCCAAAAAAAATAATTATCTTTAAGAAATTATAATCAAAATATATGTACACATGTGTGTTAGTTATTACTATTTAATCAGTTTATAATGTGAATATAATACAGACGAATACAAGGCAAACATTTAAAAAAATTATTTTTAAATATACAAATGTTATATTAAATTTGATAAAATGTTTGTAGTGCATTTAAGGAGACGTTTTAGTCCATATAAAAAATAGTGCTCAGTTTGTTAGTCTTAAAGTGAAGTCATTTCTTAGGACTTGCGGAAGATAATTGCGGCTTTTTGGATCTTGTATATTTTTTAGAATGATCAAAATCAGATTATCTTTCGAAATGATTTTAATACACAAGTAAACACTGCGAACGACGCTAGCAATTACAAAATAGAGATTTCCAATATTATTTCCTAAGAAATATAGACGTATATATTATATCCTATATTTTGTAACACACTACATTTCATATATGACCTTGTTTAATAAATGTATGTCGATATACCTTTATGTACCCGCTTCTCCTCCATTATGAACGATATGTAATGTTCAAAAAAGCTAACATTTAATATTAAACATGTTTTGCGGGACGTTTTCTACATTTACATTACTTTTGCTATTGTTTTTATTATTGTTGTAATGTATAAGTATATAAGTATCTAGGTTAGATTAGGTTAATGTGACAGCCTTGTGCACCAAAGCTCACTTCAACGCATATAATAGCCAGTTGTCACGAATGAACATGTCCACTGTCCAAACAACAGGCGTAAAGTACCAATTTAATGCAGGAAGCATGGACTGTCTAAACTTTATTCCTTTAAAGGGGCGCTGCACTTTTAATTTAGGTCAAAAGCAACGAACCTGACAAAGCCATATATTTAACTTTCTCCTTAATTTTAAAGGGCAGCAGCTTCGTGAGGTCATTTAAAAAAGAGACCACAAAGATTTTAAATGTTATTCTATCCGTTGATGGACTTCTGACACAAGGTGTAGAATAGGTTTTTCGTATATAATCCATATACTCACATTCGCAAGTATAAATGTAAGCAAATTTTAAATTAAACACAACTTTTTAATAAGAACCAACGAATGGCAATATTATCTAAAACCACACCGATTAGTAGTTTCAAAATATTATTATTTGTTATTTGTGGGAAATTATCATTTAAACAAATTTTTATAGTTATCATATCTATTGAAAAAATTTGTATATTTTTACATTCATTGGATTATTCCGCTCATTATTTATATACCATATCATACATGTTTATTGATATGAACAAATTTTTTTGGAACCTATTTAATAATCAAGATGTTTTGTAGTGTTTTGTTTTTTACTTCTTACCAAAATACCAAAAATATTAAAGCTTTTAGATCATCAGTGTTTGCTATCTATAACATATTGACATACATTCGCTCCTATACACGCATCTGGTTGAGAAAGTATAAAAAGCTCTATACTTGTTCGTTTAAATGAAAAGTTGAGAGAAAATTTTACTCAGTTTGAAGTTGTACATTCTCGGTTAAACATAACGGACAGTAGACCGCTTAAAATGGGTAAACTTGTGTTATACGGTATCGATGCCAGTCCACCAGTACGTGCTTGTCTACTGACACTCAAAGCATTAGATTTACCTTTCGAATATAAACAAGTTAATTTATTGCAAGGTGAACATCTTTCCAAAGAATATTTAGCCAAAAATCCACAACACACAGTGCCCACCTTAGAAGATGATGGACACTTCATTTGGGATTCTCACGCAATTATAGCGTATTTAGTACGTAAATATGGCAAAGATGATAAATTATATCCAAAAGACTTTCTTAAACGCGCTGTTGTCGACCAACGTTTACATTTTGAATCCAGCGTCGTTTTCGTAGGCGCCTTGCGTAATATCACATATCCTCTGCTTTTCCTCAACGAAACCAAAATTCCTCAAAGCAAAATCGATAATGTCATTAATGTTTATAAACTTTTGGAAACATTCCTACAAAATCATCCATATGTCGCTGGTGACCAGTTAACAATTGCTGATTTCAGTCTTATTTCAACAATTTCTTCAGCAGTTGGTATACTTGAAATCAAGGAGAGTGAATATCCTAAAGTGAGTGCTTGGATCAAACGTATGGAGAAGTTACCCTACTACCAAGAAGCAAATGCTAAGGGTGCGGAAATGCTGATTGGCATGTTTAAATCCAAGAATTTCACAATTGTGCCTTAAAACCCATAACTGTTCAAAGCATTTTAAAATACTTATTTTTTAATGAATAATAAAAACAAACCTTTTAAACTATAAATATGACTCATTTTTATTTTAAAGAGTATAAAAACTATACTATACTATTCAGATGGTTAATAATATATTGTTGATGTTAACCGCCGTGGGGTCTTACTACTTTCGGAGAGGTCATTATGCAGTAAGCAAATCTAGCTTATCATGTGAAAAGAGACTTAAATGATGGAAACCAAATAGTATGAATTAATATGGGTAATAAAACAGTTTCAAATATATAATGCTTTTTAAGGTTATTACCAGAGTTTATGAACAAGTTCTTCAATTTTACTAAATTTTATGTTAGTGATGTCATTTAAATATTTTATACTTAATACAGTGGTTAAGTAAGTACTCATAGTGATTTCATGGTGCCGAAATTAATTGGTGGGGCCAAATTTCTATAGTTACTTTAATATACAAATATGACTGCAGGGCTCGTTTGTGTAACTTCAAGCCCCCCTTTGTGAAGCCTCTGACATTTATTATGTCTAATAAAAAATAAAACTTGAAATGTGAGCATAAAAAGACAGGTTTTAAACATATTTTAAACGATTGAGTATGGTTTGTTTTTTTTTTGGGAATTGGTTTTTCTTAGAAAGTAAGCTTAAACTATAGAGTAATTTCTTTTGATGTTATGTAGTCACCATAGTTTCGAACTGAAAGCAAACAACTTTCCGGCTTTTGTGCATTTTCTTCATTTAGCAAAAAATGCAGCACAAAATAATTAAAATTTTAAATGTTCAATGAACTGCCTTCATCTCATTTTAAAAGATAACACAAATATTTAAAAGATTTTAAAATGGGGTAATATACTGTGAAATAGACACAATTTATTAATAATTTAAAAAAAATATGTTTTTTAATTTCTTAAAATTCAAAGAGTTTTATGGGCAATTTTTTACCTAAACTATCTCATTTATCTATCTTATGTTTTCTGTTTATCTCCTTAAATCTCATATTCATTGTCTTCATATAGTTTTTTCCCCTTTTTTTAGTACTGCTGTTGTTATTGCGTTTACTATTGTTGCGATGTTTATATACTTGCATTTGTAAATATGAATATGAGTAAATATCAACTTTTTAATTTTTACTATATAATAGAACTAAAAAAAGTTCTCAAAGTTGCTGAATTTTGTTATACTTTCTACATTAAATACCCTACCGCCCTTTTAGCAATGCTTCTCAACTTATTTCAGTCAATCACAAATCCCACTATTTCTTATTATACGCTATTAATACTCCACAAAAATGATAACCCGAGTTAATCCTTGCTTTAGCTGAGCCATCCGCAACAGATGGGACCCCAAGACAGGCAACAACAATAACCACAAACAACACGAAAGCTTATGCCATTATAATATCTAGTAAATTACAATATCTACATAAATGATATCTCTATAACGAAGAGAAGAAAGAAATGGATGGTAAAGGAAAGATAAAGGAAAAAAGAGGAAAGTAAAGGATTTGTTAAAGGATATTATAGTTAAATTATCAATCCCGTCTGATTGAACTGTGACTTTTAATGCATGAAAAATATTCAACAACATTCAACAAATAAACTATTGTAGTATTATTGTAGGTTTATTTATTAATTTCAATTAACATTACAACAACCTAATATTAAGACATCTACCTCAAACCAAATTATATGCAAGTCATCAAGTTTAAATATTGTCTATTAAAAGTGCTCAAGTCTATCAATGCATCTTTCTGTGTACACGAAATAAATAAAAATTTAAATATCTGTTATTCTATATAGGTATGTGTTTACATATAAATTATAATTTATTATCAACAATATTTTTATATTAGCAACTATATATTTACACGCCGGGAACAATCAAATAATTGATTTAAATTAAGTAAGAAACAGCTTTAACAAACAATAAGTATCAAGTATCAACAAATATCTCAAATAATATACAAATGTGTTTTAGTTACTGATAAGAAAAATATATAAATAGGTGACTTAGCTGAAATGCACTCAGAAACAGTTAAGTATCCATAGCGAGTACTTAAAAAATATATCTGAAGTGTATAATTAACATCTTATAATTAAAATATGGGTAAATTAATATTATACGGCAACGACCCAAGCTGTCCAGTACGTACTTGTAAGCTAACCTTAGAAGCGTTAGGTTTGAAGTATGAATACAAACTAATTAATACCCAAGCCGGAGAGCATAAGACAAAGGAATTCCTTAGAAAGAACCCACAGCATACTATTCCTATGTTGGAAGATGATGACAAATATATATGGGATTCACACGCAATATGCGCATATTTGGTCAATAAATATGCTAAAACTGATGAGTTATATCCGAAGGAACCATACGCACGTTCAATAGTAGACCAACGTCTACACTTCGAATCAGGAGTTCTATTTCAAGGGTGTATCAGGAATATTGCTTTGCCGGTGTTTTATAAGAATGTCACTGAGGTGCCACGAGAAAAAATCGATGCGATTTATGAGGCTTACGATTTTCTAGAAGCGTTTCTAGGCAATGAACCTTATATATGCGGTAAAACCATGACTATTGCTGATTTCAGTATTGTATCAACTGTGACCAGTTTAGTGGGTTTAGCTCCTGCAATACCAAAAAAGATTACTGCTTGGATCGACCGATTAAGCAAGTTGCCATATTATAAAGAAGCCAATGCTAAAGGCGCTGAGATGTTAGTGGATATGTTCAATGATAAAATTACGAAAATTGTTTAAAAACAACATTTTTCGAATAATGTAATATTACTATAATATTTCGAATAATAATACAATATATTGTATATGAAACACTAGATAGTATTTAATCTCATTATAAAGGTTAAGAAATTATTTATATAATCACATGTAAAAAATTAAAAAAATTAAAAAAAATAAAATAAATTTTTCAATAACAAAGTTTTGATAATTATTGGATAAAAATCAGTACACTTAACTATTTTTACATAAATATATATAATTTACTATAATTTTACGTTAATAGAAAATTAAAACAAAAACTATTAATAAACTAAATTATATATATAGTGTACAAAGTGTATAGAACTTTTAATTAAAAAAAAAACGGACGTAAAAATGTCAATTTAAGAGCAGATATTTTTTCTTTTAGAAAAAAGATATGTTAAATTGGAACACAGATTCAATAAATATGTATTGAAGTATGTCATTAACATTCTTAAATATTAAAAAAATATATTTTCCACTGCATATATGGAATTACTTGTTATGATATAGATAGATATAGATAATATATATATATATATATATATGATAGATGTATGGTATAGATGGAAATATATAGATGTGTAGATATATATATAGAGATAGGTATATATGATATAGATGGTATGTTGATATTGATTGAAATTTTATAAAAATATACACCAGAACTGTGACTCGCATAAAATCTTTGATATGTTTTGTTACTCTGAATCAGCGCTAGGCACAGATATCTCTCAAAAGAGCTAAACAAGTTCATCAACAAGAAATCAATCAGCACATTTAAAATCTGCTTCACGAAATTGAAATTGAAGTTTTCTACTAAGATTTCAAAATCTGTTCTGTTTAAAATCTGTTCTGTTTACAACCCAGATAAAACCCGATGATTAAGATAAAAACTTCTATTGAAAAACCTCGGTTCAACTGTAAACACATTTAATTCAAATTTTTAACAACTTCAGTCATACGTGATATTATTGACGAAAATACAGAGTGACCGACCGACCGATTATTTTAAATATATTGTATCTATACTTATGATATCCATATTACATATACAGCATAATTGTGGCAAATATATTGTTCGATCAATTTTTAATTACAAATTACAAAATTACACTTGAAAGACACTTGAGCTTCAGAAAAATATATCGAACATTTTGTTTTGCGTTATTTCTTTTTTTATTGTAAATCGCATAAAATAAATGTTCATTATCATTAACTCTGTTATATCACATATGGTCGGTCATATAATGCCAGACCCCTACAAGTTATTATCTTGCATATTACAAGTATTTTTAAGCCTTAGTAACAATTTAATTAATTGCAAATAATACTCGTTATCAACATATAATATTATTTACATTATATTGAAAAATAAAACAAAAATTCGTATCTTCAGTAAATAACAAACTTATTATTATTATTTCGTTTAAAGTGCACTTATAGATAAGAAATAAATAAATTTATTTGATTCCATATTTAAACAATTGCATTTTGATTTTATACTATTCTTTAGACGGAACATACCAAAGAAACATTCAAATAGAATACGTATAAAGCAAATAAAAGATATAAATTAATTTTAAAAATGGGAAAACTGATTTTATATGGAACTGAAGCAAGTCCTCCAGTACGCGCTTGCAAACTTACATTGGATGCACTAGGTCTAGAGTATGAATACAAAATAATTAACACTCTTGCTGGAGAGCATAAAACAAAAGAATATCTTCGGAAAAACCCACAGCATACTATTCCTATGTTGGAAGACGATGACAAGTATATATGGGATTCACACGCTATATGCGCATATTTGGTCAATAAATATGCTAAAACTGATGAATTATATCCGAAGGAACCATACGCACGTTCAATAGTAGACCAACGTTTGCATTTTGAGTCAGGTGTCCTATTTCAAGGGTGTATCAAAAATATCGCTTTTCCAATCTTTTATCAGAATGCCACTGAAGTACCACGGGAAAAAATCGATGCGGTTTATGAGGCTTACGATTTTCTAGCAACATTTCTAGGTGATCAACCCTATATATGTGGTAAAACCATGACTATTGCTGATTTCAGTATTGCATCAACTGTGACCAGTTTAGTGGGTTTAGCTCCTGCAATACCAAAAAAAGTTACTGCTTGGATCGACCGATTAAGCAAATTGCCATACTATAATGAAGCCAATGCAAAAGGAGCCCAAATGTTAGTTGACATGTTTAACGAAAAAATAAAAAAAATTGTTTAATTACATAAATTTCATATATTTCTGCTACTATTCGAAAAAAATTGAAATTTATTACACAGACTATTACTAACTGTACACAAACTTTAGTAAAATAAATTAATAAAAATATTGAAAAGAATACCTTAATTGTTATTTTATATATTTATAAGATACCATCTGTTTAGAAAAATATGATATAAAACTATTTCATAGAAATCGCTTATTATTTTTATAGAAATCCTATAATTAATTAGCTGAATTATACAAACACTTTTTTATTTATTAAAATTTATTCAAATTAATTTTTTCAGAATTTTTGATATGGAGAGTGTACATCTGCGTAATCAAATAATAATGCAAAAAATTAATATTATTGGAAAATAGAAAAATTTAAATATACGCTTTAGCATAGTACTTAGAGATAAGAAACGTATATAAATACTTGATTCAATATTAAAACAGCCAAATAAGATTTATTTATACATCAAAGCTCACGCGAACAAGATCAAATATATTAAATTAATACTTAACAAAAAATGGGCAAAATGATTTTATATGGAACGGAGGCAAGTCCACCAGTACGTGCTTGTAAACTCACGTTAGAGGCACTAGGTTTGCAGTACGAGTACAAACTAGTAAATTTATTAGCTGGAGAACACAAATCAAAGGAATATCTTCTAAAAAATCCACAACACACTGTGCCTTTGTTAGAAGATCATGGAAAATGTATATGGGATTCACATGCTATATGCGCATATTTGGTTAATAAATATGCTAAAACTGATGAGTTATATCCAAAGGAACCATATGCACGTTCAATAGTGGATCAACGTTTACATTTTGAGTGTGGAGTTCTATTTCAAGGGTGTATCAGGAATATTGCGTTGCCAGTGTTTTACAAGAATGCAACTGAAGTGCCACGTGAAAAAATCGATGCGATTTATGAGGCTTACGATTTTCTAGAAACATTTCTAGGTGATGACCCCTACATATGTGGCAAAAAGATGACTATTGCTGACTTTAGCATTATATCAACTGTTACCAGTTTAGTGGGATTGGCTCCTACAGTACCAAAAAATCTTACCAATTGGATAGAACGCATGAGCAAATTACCATATTATAGTCGGGCAAATGGTAATGGTGCACAAATGTTAGTGGATATGTTCAGTGATAAAATCAAGAAAATTATTTGAATTTATTCTCTATAAATGTTAAAATAAAATCAGTTTAAAAAATGTTTTATATTAATGAAAATATTTATTTATTGATAACAGTGGGTCAGGTCAAAGTGACCTTTCAATTTTAAAAATATATTAAAAAATTATTTATTTTTGTATTAAATTTCACTTCTATGTATATTATACTATACTTCGATGTATATTTTTTTAACGATATTTAATTTTATTATTGCACTGTTTTTAATACACAAAGTCTTAACACTAAAACCATTGAACAAGAATTTGTGTTCATAAAAAATTTTGGTTTTTAAAAATATATAATCGATTTACAATTAAGTTTTGTTTTGAAAATTTGTATGTTATTAAAATAGTATGTTACATTTAATATGCTTTAACTATTGAGTTAGTTTTTAAATCAAAGTCTTACAAAATGCTTACTTTATTTAAAATTTTTTTTTTTTTTTTGTAACAATATTTACAGTTCATAAGAAAATTTAAATTTGAGTCAATTTTTCTTTTTTAAAATTCGCTTAAATATTTTATATATTTTGTGAAGGTAACATAGGTATTTTATGAGAAAAATTAACTGAGAAATATAATTTTTAAAACAATATCAAGCAAAATATTCAGTCATTTTCAATATATTAAGCTTTAAAAATATTTTAAAAAAATTTTGCATAAAAGATCATAACATAAATCACCAAAATTTATTTGAAATGGAATTAACGTATAGTACATCTTAATCACTGTGTATATAAATGCCAATTTAAAGTTTAAAAGTTAAAAAAAAACTTTATATGTCCACATACATAACAGAATATATATTCGATATAACTATAAATCTAATCTCAATAATTTTTTAACAGAAATACAAAGACTTTAAAAGGATTACAAAATTCACGTGCACTATTTGGAAGAGCTTTAAATTTATTTATTTTAGATTTACGATATGTTACAAATAAGGCTCTGGTAAGGTAAACAATATCAGAGCTTTCAGATCAATCTTTAAAATTATTAAACATATTTATATGATATCTAAATTACTTTTAATTTTACTAAATGAATTTAAAATCAACTAAATTAAAATATTTAAACTAGAAAATTAATATTATACAAAAACATTTAAAGAAATTTCTGTTCAACAAATTAGATTCATAATTTAAACAAATCACATACATTTTTTACCTTGAAGTTTTTCGTGTAGATTCTTGTTTCCATACTAATTTCATGCGCAATACGCAATCACGATGATTTAACTCCCAAAGTAAAGCTGTGATGCGTCCTAAAGTACCACAACCATCGTCAGCATTTCGTTGCCACTGCAGTAACAGTTGATAGATTACCTTTCATCGAAACAAAAAAACAATTTTAAAATATTTAATCATTCACATATATTTTTGGATAAGTATACCTCTTTAATGCCCCCATGCATTTGATGATCAATTATTGCTTGTTCTATTTGACCATCAGAAAGTCCTAACTCACGCATAACTTGCTTCCAACCTTCCCCTAAATGTGTTGCAATTGTATCTAAAATGCGATGGTTTGGTTCCTCTTGTGACTGCATCATAACAACCACACTTGTTGTCTTTCGCGGCGTCTGTCGTTTCCCACTATCCGCACTTGAGCTCATTGTAGCACCACTTTCATCCACACTCAGTTTACGCGGATTGTTTGCATTATTCGTGTTACCATTAAAATTATAAACAGAACCAAAGTGTAACTTATTTACATTCGAGAACTGCATGACTAATTGTTGTTGTGCATTGTGCACATTCATTGTGTTCATGGTGGGTGCAAGTGTATTTGGCATAGTTGCTAAAGAGTTTTGCTCGACCAATGCGTTTTGAGTAGTTGGCACTATTTGTCCAATATCTGAAGAATTATAATTTGGATCTGATAATTCACGTACTACAGATTCAGTTAATTCTGCTGATGCTGTAGGTGTGCTATTGGCACTTTGTATTTGTGGTACATTATCATTATCATCTTCATCAACAGGTACTGCATCCGTTTCAAGTTTTATTTCACCATTTGACAGTTTTTGTGTATCCTTATTATTTCCAAATATACCGGGTAAGAAATTCTTTAACTTTTTTGACATTATGCTTAAGAACAGAAAACTAAATTCAAACTAAATTTCTTGGTACTCCGGAAATTCCAACGATTCGTTTATAATATATGTTGAAAATTTGTTTTGCTTTGTTTTTGTTTTGCAACAGGTGGGAATAATGAAAATGGAACGAATGGTTGCATTTATTTATACAAAAATATTTTATATTACGGAATGGAGACAGATAGCATTCAAAGTATTTCTAAGAATATAGTATTGATATGTCTGCTTATGCTATGACTAGACTACTGCAAGGAACTCGACAAATATATGTATGTTCTATATTGTATCCAAAATTCGAAAATCGACTTACAAAGTAAGAAAAGAAAAATGTTTTGATTTTGGTGCGATTTTAGTAAACTTATGGTTTATCGTTATACGTTTAAAGCGTGTATTATACATGAGAATTTTTTGTCAAACTTTTTTATTGTTGCTTGTCGACATTATTTTGAACACGCCAAACCAAAAAAAAAAACAACAAATATATTATAAAATAAAATTATAAAGGCATTTAAACGATGTTTTCGCTTCCATCCCTTAAAAAGAATAAAATTTCGCATGTAAGTTAACGAAAATCCGAGCAAATTGAGAAAAAATCAAAATATTTTGATTTCCATCAAACTTTCTTGTCAAATTTCAAATATTGCTATTACACATCAAATTTAGTACAAATTTCACATTTCGCAAAAAAATTTGACAAAAATTTTCATGTGAAATATGCTCTTAAGGTCAATGTTATATAGAGTGCCAAAATCATGTAAAAATTAAAATTGTTGTTGTTTTGAATGCAAATTAAAAAATTAAGAGTGAGATAAATATTCGCAGGTAATCGTACCTACAAAAGTTCGTTCATTCGCATATATAAATCATAGTACTGAATTCATTACTATTTCAATATAACACCGGTTGAAGTTTTTTAAAAAGATAGTTCAATGAATTCAATTACTTTGTGCCAGAAGTAATAATTGGTTTTTAACAAAATTAATAGATTTGTATACAAATTTGTATATATTTTGATTTACTATATAAATCATAAATATTACTAATTAAATTATAAGCAAATAACGTAAATTTTAAAATGTTTTCTACGCCTATTGAAAAATATAATTTTCCCATGAGTCATCCGCGTACAAAGAAACTTCAGTGTTGTAGTCCGCTAAAATTTTTTTTATGCTAATAATAATTTTATTTGTTCTTTTAAATTATGTTTATATAAATTTTTTTAAATTTAAGATCAAAAATATACATTAATATATATATGTTAAGTTGTGAACTAAATTTTAATTATATGTAAGCCTAAGAATTACAAAAATAAATTATAATACTTTATTAACACTGTTATTTCAATATTACAGTCATCTTTGTCTTTCAAATAAGTAATTCTCATGTATTTTGATTTATATAAATTGTATTTGCTCTACAAAGTTTTATTGCAATAAGAATTGTTGTGCAGAAAGGGTGTACGTCGTACAAAGTGGTGAAATATTTATTAAAATAATTATAAAGTATTTATAAAATACAAAAATTTTAAAGTTTTCAAAAAAAAGCAAAATTTCTTGCAAATTTGTATAAATTATTAAAACTCATATTTATTATAAAGTGAAAAGTTGGTTTAGAAATATCAACGCACACTTATCTTGACGGTGACTCATCACTGCTCATAAGCAATCAAAACAAAAACAGTGGACGCGTAAAAAATACAACAAAAAAAAACTTTCAAGGCACACCAGTTGATTACAACGTTAACGCAAGATATAAAAACAGTTGATAAAAGAAAAGAATTTGTTGGGTGACGTCATTACTATTTGTTATATATTTTCTAAAAATAGAAATTTTATATTAAGATTAAAATGAAAACAGTTGTATCCGCTGTTAATTCGAATACAACGCCAAGTAGTGCTACGACTATTACCGCTAATACAGTTCCTTCGGTAACAGTTATGCCCAAACCAGAGGTAAACATTAATGGAGAAATGCCATTTTCATCTCCAAATAGTGATGGTACAGTTAACAATGCAGTTGCGGTAACTGGTGGCAATACTAACAAACGTCCCATATCTTTGGATTTAAATAAATCTACACCAGCGAAAAAAACACGTTTAGTGGGACCACAACTACAAATAATAAATCCATCAGAATTGCCAAGTGCAAAATCGATTAATACACCTGACTTGGAAAAAATCATACTATCAAGTAATCTTCTAAATACTCCACAACCAGGAATGGTTTTTCCTACTAAAGTAGGACCGGTAAGTGAAATATTTTCAATACTTTTTATATTTGATTTATTAATTGTGGTTTTTTAGGTTACTTCTGAGCAGGAAGCTTTTGGCAAAGGTTTTGATGAAGCACTACATAGTCTGCATAATAGTAAAAATGCACAAGCACAACTTAACAGTAACAATGGAACTACAACTGCTGTTACTGCTGTTGCCACGACAACTGCCGGCACTGGCATGAGTGGCGGTTCATTTACATACACTAATTTAGGTAAGTCAATAATATTTTTTGCAATTTCTTATTATGAATACAGTGAAAGTTCTTTTAAGAGATGTGCACAGGACTAGCAACTCTATCCGATTGATAGAACTGCTGGTATAAAAGAATATTCTTTGTATGAAATAGAAAATTAAAGACTGACAATATTTCACGGTTGAGACAGTTGTCCGATTGTGAGAGCACCTATTGCTTATATAAAGTTTATCTTTGTATATCAATGACTACTATAAATAATTGATTTAATTAATTGATAATCTCTTAGTAAGTTTGTGTAGAAATGATAAAAACCGAAATATTTATACATTTTTCGCGTCTAATACTTTTACTATACGTTTCTTCTACACTTATTGTGAAAGTGATACGAAACTTAACCATTATAATCTAAACATAGGTACATTAAAAAAATCTTTTTTTATAAATATTTTATACAAGATATTTTATATTTTATAAGTTAAAAATCTCTCCTCACACATAATACTTATCACATAAATAAACTTTTTACACATATATTTATTAAAATAATACCCTAATAACTTACTATATATAAGTCAATTCTCATTAATTATGTGAACTGATTATTTGATATAATTTATAATAAAAACGATACTGTTTTGTTTTATTTTTAGAATCCAGTTTCCCTGTAGCTATTAAAGACGAACCACAAAATCCTCCCACACCACCTTCAATTGATCCAATTGATATGGAATCACAAGAAAAAATAAAATTGGAACGAAAACGTCAACGTAATCGTGTTGCTGCTTCGAAATGTCGCAAACGTAAGCTTGAACGTATTTCCAAATTGGAAGAAAAAGTAAAGATACTTAAAGGTGAAAATGGCGACCTTGCATCAGTCGTTAAAAATCTTAAAGATCACGTAGCGCAATTAAAGCAAAAAGTTATTGATCACATCGAATCGGGTTGTAATATTCAACAGGTGTGTAATGGTAGCGCTTTACTACAAGGCAAATAACATGAGGATATAGTTTTAATAGCTGCTGATTGTCAACACGAAGCAGAAATTGAGGGAAAAGTGGGTAATGATAAGGAATTGAAAACAGCACAGTCAAAAGAAAATATAAATGATTTTTGTGTCGAGGATGCAGATACATTGATTGCTGGTCAGTCTAGCAGTGTGTCAGATGTGGATTTAAGTGAAACCTTATTAAACATTATGGAAGAGAATATGCCTATTGAATTATTTATGGATTCAATGCCTTCAACTGGAGACAGTGTATCTACACATTCCACAAACTCTATGTGTTCTACTGTTATGGGAGATGTGGATGCAATTGGTGGACTCATAAACAATTCTAATAACAACTCTGCAACTGCTGTTGTAACTCTCGATTCTGATGCTGTTTCTAACACTGGGGAAAATAATGATAGATCTATGGTATTAGTTATAATTACCGATTATAATATGCAATAAATGTGTTATGCTAATGTTATATATAAGATATGCTAAATTTTATAAACATAAATAATTATAGTTTGAAAAATACTAACTTTACAACTCAATTAGGACATTAGTTTCGCTTATGGAGTTTTTTCCAATTGAACTTGCTTGTTTTATTTATAAGTGCCTTTTTATAAATTATTAAAGAATTAAATTAAAAACAAAGATAAATGTAGTGAACATAATATTTATATTATAATATTGATGAATTGCACTTATATAATAACAATATGTTATTTAAACCATTTTTGTATGTTAACAAAAATATAAATACTTTCTATTGTATATATATCTTTAATTTTTTTTTTTTTATTTCTTTTTATTTCACAATTAATAATTATTTTTCTAACATTAATGATTATTTATTTATTTTGTTTTATAACTAAAAATGAAAAATAAAATTTTAATAAGTTAAATTTCGGAGTTCACTATTACGAATTGATTAATATTAATTTAATAATTGCAGTTAGCACATCTATTCATTCCTCTGGGTGCGCCTGATTTTTTCTAGACTGTGAAAATCCTGAAATCTACATCACTTGAATTGTAATATCTCTTTTTGATTAAAGTATAACATAACGAATATCGGTATACCTTCGCTCCTCCGCTTGAGTTCTTCTTAGAGGAGTCAAAGAACTGTTAGAATGAATATTAATTTTGGTAACTACTTTGAATGCTCTAACCTTTATGTGCGTGGCTATGGTTTCAGTAGAAGGATTCATATAAGTTTCTTTTAAAATATATACATCTTTGTGCTTGGTCAATAGTAAATGGTATTGGGGGGTTTTGGATAAGGCTAAGGCCTCTATGAACTGCGACCAGCTCAATCTATTTGCATCCCTTTGTATTTAGACATTCAGTATCTCGATGAATCGAACCAACTCCTTCGGGGGAAGTTTTCAAAGGTCTTTATCCTCTAGTTATTGTGGCATAAACTGATTTATTGCAAACACAACAGCTTACTTGATTACTAAGCAGCTTAGCATTTAAGATATATATAATCTTATCTTAAATCACAATTTCCATATAGGAGTTTTAACAGATTATAATAACAACTAATAATGAGTAATACTTTATTAAAATATTTTTATTTGATTTAAATTACATATATTATTTTATTCAAAATCAATAACTTAAATGTGCTGGGCCAGCAAACTTAATAATTTCAATGTACTACCCACATCCACAATGTGAATGGGTGTGCATACAATTTTGGCAAATTAGAAATATTTAATAAATATGTAACAAATAATATGCATATAACAAATTTGTATAAACTAATGCATCAATACGGTTTAAAAATGTTTTGAAAAATTTATTATTTAAATTTTATTTTATTGGATTTATACTTTTTGAATTCCATTAACAAAATTTTACAATTTATTAATACTGAAATTTTTTTAAAAAAAGTTTCCAAATATGTTCTTTTTGCATAAATTGTATATAAGTAAAAAAATAAATTCAATTCAAAATTTAAATATTCAAATTAAAAAAATCTACTTCTTAATTTTTAGCATTACAACAATTATTTTTTATAATTCATATATGTAAACTGAAATTAAGACGTTCACCAATAAAATACATAAATATAGCAATATTGTTTGTTTATTGCAAGAAATATTATTACCTTTCTTATTCAAAAACAAACAATATATATATTCCAAACATTATATTGGGTACATTGTTAGATTGGCTCGTCTTTAATCTCTCGTTTATCATTTGGTTTGATTGGAAATATTACATATAGATTTTATTAAATTTTATTTTTAATATTAAAAATATTTTCAATGCTGTCATTATGATTTTTATATAAATATTTTATAGTTACTTGTATACATATTGTTGAAGATATAATCAGTTTTGGAAGAGACCAGTGTAAGGAAATAGTTCATACTGACATTATTACAACCTACAATTTAGACAGCACATTCATTAATTATGATATAAATACACAATACGATATATGTGCAGTTTTTTGGTCTTTATCCAAAAACAAAAGACTAAATTACTTAGAAAATTTTATTGGGAATATTCCCACTTTATTAGTAACCATAAAAAACTGCACATTTACAATTATTATATAGCATATATATTTTAATACATAAATATTTTTATAATTTGAATTGTATATTTTTTTTTATAATATAATAAAATTACCATTTGTCTTTTTATTTCTAACTCGTTTAAATTATTAATGATGTATAAATTTTATCAAAGGAAAGAAACTATGTGATTTTAGTATTTTTTTAAAAATATTCATGTTTAATATATTTTTATATATACTTACAATAAATTGTCTTTTAGTAGTGCTGTTTAATGCATAAAAATCTTGACAATAATTTAAATTATATGTCAGAATCGTTTTAATTTTATGCAATATAAACACATTGAGCGAACGAACTAATTTCATTTAGAAGATCTTAAGAGTTATAGATTGCTAACGGCATAAACGTGTAAGGTCTTAGTTAAAACATATTTATATAAAGAGTTAGCATTGCTATTAATTTAATTTTATAATAATTTTATAATAATTTTAAATCAATAACTACAGTAGTTCATTATTTTCTTATTGATCAATATTAATCAATTTTTTGTTTAATGAAGTTTAACAAGCATTTGTGAATCCAGTGGCATTTATTTAAAAATTATTTGCTGACTGTATTTTTTTTTTAAAATAATTCGTACTGGTTACAAGTTTCATATGATTCACAAAGCTTACAAATTATAAAATATATATTTTTTATTTATCACATAGTTTTCCAATCAATAAAGACAAATGGTAATTGCTAATTAAATAATAATAAAAATGACAATTTTTTTTATTCACTTAAGCATAAAATTGTGGACAATTAATAACAATATATATTCATAAATCAATTAATGCATAGTAATATGAAAAAATTATATAAATATGTGATGAAAATATGCAACTACATCTAAACATGCAAAAATAAAAAAAAGAATGTTAGAATTATTATTATGAATTGTCCAAATTTAATAAAGTAAGCAAAAAAATATGTTAATTTATTTAATTTATAAATACTTTTGCATACGTATATTGTTGTATGTGCACATAGCTAGCCAAAGACACATTAATTTGGTAGTGTGAACTACTTTTATAGTATTATATGCTCTTATGAGCAAAAACAGCAATTTGTTTAAAATAATTGTATATTATTTTAAACAAAAGCATATCAATTTATCTGTTAATTAAAATTAACATGTGTATGTCATAGCCTTAATACGGAAAATATCATATTCAATATTCAAATAATATTTAAAAATTGTGCTATTGTAAAAGTACAGAAAATTGACAAAGCAAATCTAAGTGGTTTTATATGGTATGGTTAAACCAAATTTGAATAGGTCTAAGGCAAGCTTAATTATTGAGAATAACAACATATAGATACGATAGTAATTTATAAATTAAATTTTTGTTAAATATAAATAATTTATTATTAGGCGAGTTCCATCGAATCGTATGACCACAAATAATAACTTAAAAATAAATTAAAAATTTTACATTTCATTTAATGATTTAAAAGTATTTATTTTTTTAACATTTTTTTTATGTTATCAAAATTGTTCAAATTTTTATATTTATTTTTAATATAACTGCGCTCAACGATGACATGTAAGAAAAATAAATAATTTAAGATATTCTTCATAAAGTTCATCAAAAAGTGAATATTTTAAATTAATCTTATTAGATCGAAATATAATCATATTCTTCTATAATTATTAATATGAATTTTATTTTTAAAATGGATATTATGACTTGAATATATATTTGAATATTGCATTTTTATAAGAATAAATAAATAAATAAGAAAAAGAAGATAACATAATTCACTAAGTATTCAGTAAGTAATAAATATTTAACTAATATTTTCATATTAACAATATAACAAATTCCGTTTAATATTATTTTTCAGTTTAGTTTTGGATTTAAATAAATTTTGCACTCAGTTTTCATTATAATTTAATTATTTTTGGTGGACGGTGCAGCGAAAGTTTTCATCATCATAATCAGTTGAATTTGTTAATGAAGTTTTACTTTTTTGCAATATTCAAACCTAATTCGCTAAGTATTTTTAAAGCATTTTTAGATGCATCATTTTGAGATTCTTCGCAGCTAGTTCCAGTTCCATGACAGATTTGTGGTGGGTTCGTTGATAGTGTAACGATTGTAAGATATTCATCGTGATTTCCTTTCGGATAATTTGAAAAGTTTACCTAAAAATTAATAGAATTTTATAATTTTATAAAAATATATACAATATATATTATAAATTAATTATTTATTAACCTCAAATCCTAGTAACTTTGCCAAATATAATAATTGATCCTTTAATAGTACAGATGAACCAGAATTAGTAGTGTTATTTGTGGTCACAGTTGGCGCGATCACTGCTGCATTTGGAACAGTCTTTTCAATGCTATTTTCACTGGGTTGTGTAGTTTTTGAAACAGGTTCATTTGATGTTGGATCGTCAGCTTTTGTGTCTTTAGTTTCCTCTGAAGTATGTAATGCATTTTCCTTCTTTTTTGAAGCTTTGTAATATAAATATAAATAAATATAGATATTAAAATAATTGTTGATATAAATTTATTTTCGAAACACAGACATTAGTAAATTAAGTATTAATATATATTGTTCTCTCGCTACATGAATTTAGTTTTTGTACTTGATAGCAGTACTTACGTTTCTTATTTTGACGCACTATTAGTATACCAGGTAATTGACCAGCTGATGTCGATACCATTGGTAAATCGGGATTCTCCACTATTTCTTTAACTGGTTCATCATTTATTTTTATTTTACTTGCATCCACAACAGTTTCGTTAGCGGTAGCTGATAATACATTTGATGTTGTATTAGTAACTTTACTAAATTCTAATTTATTTGTCATGGTTTCTATTTTTTCATTTTCACTTTCACTTTCATTCTCTCCCATAATAGCTAGCAAATCTGTAATTAAAATTTGTTTATTATTATTTAATGAGTTTTACGTACTTTAATATGTAAAGATACATACTTTTAGCAGCATTTCTCTTTGCTAATTTTTTATTATTTCCAGTGCCACGTGCCACCATGCCATGTGCCGAAACTTCAATGATAAATTCACGTCTTCGAGAATTTTCAGTACCATTTTTTGCAATTAAATCGAATATAGGTTCTTTCTCTTTACGATTCTGTTGTAACTGTATAAGTTTTGTTATGGGATTATCATCATCATTATCTGTTTCTATTTTTTCCTTAACCGCTAGACGTTTACGTTTTTCACTTCCGTTGCCCTTTGAGTTGGGCGTCGAAATGGTAGTAGTTGTCTTGCCTGGTGTTTTGACTTTAACACGTTTAATGGGTGATTTTGTCGGTGTCAATGGTGGTAATTTTTTTAATTCCTCAAACATTTTTTCTGCGGCACGTTTTTTGGATATTTTTTTCCCATTTCCTTCGCCCTCTGTAACAATGCTACCAACAATACAAGCTGTTATAAAATTTTTCATATGAGCTGGACCTTCCTCGCGTAAGACTTTAAAATGTACTGTCATATTGCGTTTTATACCAATTTCATGTACTACTGATATCGGTGATTTATTATCGGGTTCATCCAAAGAAGTATTCATTGCTTCGTTCAGTTCATTTGTAGCCTGTGCTTTAAGAACTTGTAAAGCACGTGAAGCGGCATCGTGTTTGGCCTGCTGTATAGTACGCCCAATGCCCAAAAACTTTTGTTTCCCAACAATTAAAGTAATTTTGCATGGAAGTGTAGGTGGCGGGAAAGCACCGTGAGGATTATGAACGAGTGGAAAACGTTGAGTGAATTTTGGATACCCGCGAGTGTTGAAGCGTGGCTGTTTTGTGTGAGGAATTGGTGGTGGCACAAACGAACGTCTTAAGTATGAAGACTCCAACATTCTTGGGTGTGGGGCCTGAGCCAAGTTGTGAGGATTTAGTGGTGTTACAAATGCTGGCAAAACGTTATCGTTTTGTTGTAGGATTGTGTCTACTGGTGAAATACCTGGCATTTGGCGTGGGTCATAGAGATAATAGGTTTGCTGTCCCAACTTCATAGCCAATGCATTTAATTCAACAGTTGGTGTTATATTCGTTCTGGCAGATGCACCATCTTCAGTGCGACGACTTAGTTTTGGTATAGGATGTTTATATCGTGTTTTTTCAATTGCTTCAGCGGCAGCCAAATGCTGAGCTTTTTTAATTTTAAAACCTTCAGCAGAATACTCTTCATCACCTAACTTGAGAGTGACTTGAAAGCGCTTGCAATGTGGTGGACCTTTCTCGTTTGTTAAGCGGTATTGGTGTGTAATCTATTATATAAAATTTTGTTAAATCCACTTCTAAAGCTGTAGTATTATTACTTACTTTATTAAATCTAGCCAACTCATTAACTAAACACATAGGTGTTTTTTCTTTTGAATTCTTTGCAGGAGATGTATCATCATCTGAAAGTATATTGATGTTGTTGGAATTTATAATATTATTGTTGGAATGATTGTTATTAGTAAAGTTGATGTTGTTGTTATTTTGAGGCTCTTGATTTCCTTCGAGGGAAATATTTTCTTTATTAGACTCATCTGAATTATCTGAAATAAATTGCATATATAATATTAAAACTGGATTATTGTATTAAAAGGAAAACTACCTGTAGGTGGCGGCGGCGATTGTTGTTGTGTTGGTTGTTGTTGTTGTGGTTCCTCAACTATGATTTTTTCTTGCGTCTTTTGCAGATCTTCTGCTGTGTTTGGAGTTTCACTGCAGTCTACAACTGCAGTAGAGGATGTTGCATCTGGGGTGATAATAATATTGTTATTGTTATTTACAGTACTTGGAATATCTGGTTTTTTATTTGGCATTTTGGCAACGCCCAGCGGAGCCTCAGCAGATGTAGATGCCATTTGGGACCGTTGTTTTCCAAAGCGATATTGATTTTGTGAAAACTGTTTCTGACCAGTATAATTATTTGCATTATTATTGTTAAATCTTGGTTTATTGCCTGTGTAGTATTGCGGTTGCGGTTGTGGCTGCGGCTGAGTATGTTGTATGTGATTTTGTGAGTTGCTGTTTGATATTGGATGTTTGTTAATATTCACGTTATTAATATTGGGCATGCGATACTGCCCATGTTGTTGCTGCTGCTGAGGCAACTGTTGCTGTTGCTGCTGTGGATGCGCATGGTGTGTCGGATGTCGTATATGTGTTTGTGACTGGACCTGTTGCGCCGCAGCCATACGCGGTTGATGATTATATTGGTGATGAATTTGTTGATGGTTGCCTTTGTTTATATTGTTATTGCTATTTATATGTTGATGTTGCTGTCTTATTTTTTGCATGTGTGTTGTTGAGGGCAACGATGTTTGTTGATTTTGTTGCTGATGATTTACACTAAATAAAAACAATAAATAATACATAAATTAAACTTAACTAAACAATTTCAGTTAGCCTATGCAAATAAAAAAAGATATAACAGCAGATTTAGTAGATAAAATAGTATATAAACATTTCATTTTTATTATGAGGTTAAGGTTTAACTATCGGAAATTTGACCTCGTTGTAAAAAAACGTACATATAGCTTGAAGTCAGTGTTGCATTCTTTTTATTTGTAGTTCTAACATATTCAAATTATCTTTACACACTACGAGCTAGAAAACAGATTTAGACAGGAATAACCGATGCCGATTCACCCACAGCAATCTCATGTCATAACCTCAAATACAACTTTCAAGTTAGTAGTTCTGTTCAATTGGAGATAATTAGTTAATTTAATTATTATTTTATAATAATAATGATTTAATAATGAATAAAAAATTATTTAAATTTTAATTTATTGAAATTAATCAAATTTTTGTTGTTGTTTCTTTATTACTGTTCGAACCCTTTCAGTTCTTTTCGTTATAAGACGCGGCACATTCGACAAAAAAAAAATTCACGTTAAAAAATTATTTAATTTTGAAATCTTATAGTCTAATAATAATAAGTAGCTATAATGTAATGGATATCTTAGATATTAAATGTACAAGCCAATAATCTATTGAAACAGTGCTCTTCTTCTTCGCAGTGCTTTTCTTGCTCTTCTTTTACTCACCTAAGCCGTAGGTGAGTATGACGTAAACTAGAATTTTACAAGGGCAGCAATACTAGCATTATCAAATACATATACAATTAGTCTTTCTCTAATATCAGCAAATCGCTTTTGTCTTCATCAGGAGAATTCCTAATATATTTGTTGTTGTTGTAATCTTTGACGGACGTAGTAAGCGATACTTGACTGCTTGTATAGACAGAAGGATCGCAGAATTAAAAACTTAACTAATTTTGGTGCTTAGGTGGAAGGGATTTCTTTTTATAAATCCATTAATCGAGTCACGTTTTTGTATGTGGATAGGATAAATTATCATTTTTAGAAAGTGATAGGACTAAGTTTATCTACGGTGTTAATTTTCAATTTCTAGCTAAAACTGTTGTGTTCAGTTATTGTCATTGAACAATATACTGAGGGCATGGCTTTGTAACCATGATATGGTTATGAGGCCATGACAGTTACAAACCTCCAAAACCTAAAGTTTCAAGCACAAAGAAAAAACTATACCGCGGGAAATTTATAGAGTGTTCTATCTCAACATTAATATTCTTTAGTAAATAAACATCTAGTGGATTTGTGGTCTTGGTCATGTCGTGATAATGGGAGACTTAGTCGCATGTCGCTTCTTAGGTTAAGTTAACAATGTAAGCAATATTACATATTTATAATATTTATTCCTTAGGGATTATCTTAAAATAATACGGTTTTTTTACACAGAGGTGAATATGTTCTAAGAGAAGTGTTAAAAGGATATTGCCAATGTGTTATTTATGGAAAGGAATTATTAAGATTGAATTGTCTATTTATTTACATTGAATATAATTAAATACTTAGCTTTAAATGAAATTGAATTCGCTTGGTTTTTTTAAATGAATTCAAAAATAAAATCACAATAAGCACTGCAATTAATGTTTAAGCCTCATTGTCGAAAAAGAAGAATTTTATATGCAAATATTGTTAAAAAAAAAAATTGTTTACCCCATCTGAGGCTAGGATTTGAGCCCTAATATACATAGAATTGTGGTTAGAAAAAGTTTTCAAAATTCACAACATTTTCAACACAAAAGCAAAAGTGAAGAGGTCGCCGAACGGTGAATAGCAGGCAGTTTTTATATTGAAGGATTAATATATAGAGTTGCGCATGCGAACTAACTTTGTTAAAAAAAAAAAAAAAGAAAAAAAAAAGCCTAATAAAAAATAAAAAAAATACTACGAAATAAGTTTCAAATGTGTGCACTCAACGGAATGGTTACATGTTAAGAATACACTTAAAAATTCTTTGACAAAACCTAAGCTGACCCCTTTTCTTCTGTGCATAGTTAATGAGCACATTTGAAGAGAAGAAAAAAATGTTTCTTTTTATTGAAAAAGGAAAAAAATGACACTATTGCACATAAAACATTTTAACAGAATTGGGAACAAAGGGAACAATACCTCATTCTATTCAGTGTCACTTTTTGCCCGACAATCAACAAAAGTTTGTTTTGTTCGAAGTGCTCATTCGCTGACAAATAAATTCAGTATCATTGATGGAAGAAGAATATTTTTTTGTCGCCAACAAAAGGTAAATATTGGCAGCAGACGTACGAGTGAAATGCATTTTTTCTCCTAATTTTACTTGACGAAGGCTAGCTAGCGTTACGCTTGGTATGGGCAAAGGCGTTTTGTTGTCCATGGTTTTGCGACACTATTTTATGGCATTTTCCTAAATGTACATTGTCGCATCCTTTCCGCTTGAAGTCCGGCTGCACATTGGAATTTCGCAATATTATGGAATTTCTCTGCAGTTTTATGCAGATTTTTGGATGTGACAAATTTAATTAGGACATGAAAATAAGTGGTTGCTAAGCTTATTAGATTTGCTTTCAGCAATAATTGAATACCAGTTAAACTTTTTGAGCTAATTATCGATCAATTGTAATTTATGCCAAATCGTTAAGCTGTTTAAGCAAAAAAGGGGTTTTAGTCTGTGAAATATTATTTCATAAATACTCTTTACCGCCGAATGTAACTCTACCTAAAGAAATAAAAATATTTATAATTAAAATTTCTTTCTAATGTCCTATAGCAAGTAATCTATTTCGAATAGAAAAGGGGGTAGTAATAAAAATGTCCAGTCTAAAAATATTTAATTTTTATTACTATATAGTATATAGTATTTGACTTCTTCCTCAGAGGTCGGAATATTATTATTTAAATATATTGTCACAAATTAAATAAAAAGTGAAAAAAAACTTGAAACTTGAGCATTAAAAGTTTGTGCAGCCTTGGCTGCTTATGAATAAACACGATTAGTAATCGCTTCTAATTTGACAATCCAAACAAATTATATACGGTCTATAAACTAATTAAAATTCAATTATTTCTTAAGACCACTGATGATGAGTACTTGGCAATACTAGAAACAGCATTGTATGGTCAGCGAAATTTCAATAAATTAAATACATTTTTGTCCTTGTCTTTTATTTACTATTCAAATCCATCTAACTTTTAAAAAGTTTTTTTTCGTCATAAAGACGCGTCAATATCGGCAAGAAAAAATTAACATTAAATATATTTATATTATATTTAATTTTTATTTAAAAGAATACTTGAGCTGACCATACAAGTGTGGTGGATACCGTGAAATATTCGCCATCAATGCGTCCCATTTCTAGCTACTCAATCAGTCTTACGTCTTCGTCATCTTAAAAAGTAATACCTACAATCATCCCGATGGAAATCACTATTTCGATTAATCTTGGGCTTCGGAGTTGAATGTTGGATAAAAATTTTTAATCAACCCAAAAACTGAAACTTATTTTGCTTACACCGTTCGTACCAAGTTTTTTTTTATGTGTGAAATGCCAAACTCCTTTGCTAAGCTTTCTGATTCTTATTCAAATTGATCATTTAATACAATATGATACACTTTATCTCTGTAATTTCACAAACACTTGAAATTACTTCCATTTTTATTAGAATAGGTTGAAGTTCTAGGATAGATTGAAGTTTTTGGAAGTTTAAAACAAGCGAACTGTGGATAAAGAGAGAAATTGTAGAGAAAGTTTTAACGCACGCAGAGTTGCAATGTTGGAAAGAAGGTAAGAAAATCTCAAAATAATAATACTTAATAATTTTATTTTCTGCGCCTCCAAATATCAATTTTTATTTCATAAGATATTTCATAACATATTATAGTTGTTATACAAAAAGAGAGTACTTTGAAGAGTTTGCCGTTTTATCGCAACTGTTTTTTCTATTGGCTTGTAAACAAAATATATTTTTTATATAGATTTTATTGAGGAGCGAATGATTTATAAAATGATTACTCTTTACTTTTTAAAATTCTTGAGTTTGGTTTAGAATTTACAATAACAGTAGTCTTATAGGCTCATATTGATTATGTAGCTTAATATTTGCTGTCCCAATTAGGGTTACTGTAAAATCATAATAAAAGAAGTTTTACAATATCGGTTTATACATGTTGTTGTTGTAACAACAACGCTGGGACCTGATTGTGAAGTTCCTTTGAGAGGTGTTGAACGGCACTTGGTCGTCGCTGGCGAAGAGTGACTTCGGCATGTAAACCCTGCCGTCGGTTTATACATAAAACCTATGAACAAATTGTGATATTTGTGTTAAGATAACTTTATCGGCAATATCCTTATATAATTAGAAGCTGAATATATTATTTATTTGACTTTGGTACTATAATCTAAAAGACAGTTTAATCTGCTCAATTAGGACCAGTTGCAATACTTTGCTGTACTAGGAGTCCAGAATCCTATCTTCTTTTTCTCTTAACTTAAGCAGTTGTGTTTCACTAAGACTGCGACAACCTTGTGCAGCAAAGCTCACTTACGCACAAATAATACTACACTTTAGTTGTGATACTACAGTTAAATCAGTATCCGTACACCAGAGCTGAAGAATCACTTTAAAGGTAGAAATTAGCACAAGAAAAACGTCAATTTCAGAAGGTGCGATTACCCCATTTAAGTATAAGGCATTCAACCTAACAAGTCTACAACCTTGACTATATCCCTAACTCTAAAGAGTGACAGTTCTATAAAAGTCATATAACCTCTTTCTCTTCGTCCTCAGATCTCCGGCCTCGTCAAAAGTCGATAGACATTAGTTCCTGTCTTATTGATGCCTTTCTAATATACAGTGGTCGGTCAACACTGATACTGTACTACTAAGTTGGTTTCGCTTTACGCTTTAGTTCAAGTAGCTGACTGGTACGAATTTTTTACAATTTGAGCCATGTGAGTTTTGCAATCTACAATGATCTTCATCTACACAGGCTTTTATTGCTATCACTAAGAGTGATAGGATATAGTAAGGACCATTATTACGATAATAACAATAACTTGACAAAGTTATAAAATATTATGAGAATTATATTTTTGTAAAATTTTTATGGGTGGCAGATATATTTTGATATCTCACATCTAATGATAATATAACGCTTTTATACCAATTCATTGATCCCGCATTGTGATCATAATTATTTATAATAAATTATTTAAAATGTTTAATATTTAGAAATTGCTGTTATTAACTTAATAATTATGCTTTTAAGACGTCTAAAATAAATTTTAATTATACTATTAATTTTTTGTGCTTAGTTTATTTTACTTAATAAGCGTCTATCGCATGTTAGGACACAATAAATCTCTAGATCGCAATGTAAATTCTCCACTCACATAATGTAAATTTTTCAGATCTTTATTATATGTTTTGTGGAAATATATGTTTACTGGAGTATATGTGAGTTGCAAAAGTGTCTTTGAATTCCTTCAGTTTATAAGTAGTTATAGATTTAAAATAATTTTCATATGCACAGCACTTAAAATACTATATATATAGATTTAAATAAATATATATTAAGTTATGTTTAATATATTATTTTTATAGAATTAAGATTAATTAAAAATTAAACAACATTTAGCAGATAAATTATTTTTTTTCTTTAAATCAATTTCATAACTGAAAGGAACGATATTTTACGTGTTCAAACATTTCTTGCACAGCCAAATAGGCTTGTTTAGACTATCCGATTTACTTGAGTTTACCGATTTCGTTAGTTTTTATATTCGTTATTAACTTATTTAATTTAATTATATGTATTATTGCATTTATTTTATTTATATCTTGACTATTTCTCACACGTGAACGCGAGTAAAGTATCGAAAACCAACTGTGCTTAATCAAAGGACAACGAGACACTGGCGAACATATGATTCAAGCTATTTGCATAAACAGGAATAATGTTAAATGAACAAAAAAAAAACAACAAAAAATAAAAGGGACGAACCTCTGGACAAACTCTAAAGCAAATATCCCCTTCGGAGAGCTGTAAGAAAAGGCAACACATGAAAAAGTTATATGCACATATACATCACACACCGATCATACAAGCAAGGATACACTATTATAGGCAATTGCTAGAACTCGTTCCTAAACGGAAGTCATGCTGTTTTAGGTATAGAAAAAAATTAAATAAATAAAATTAAAAAACTAGAAAAGCGAATATGTAATGAAATATAATTTTAATTTATGAGTTTGGTCTCGAGTCTCACACCAATTGTCAATATGAAACAAAAAGGATAAAAACTAAAAGTTGCATAATTATGGGAAATACTATTGTAGCATGAAACCTACAAAGTTAACTGCTTCGCTTGGAGGACAATTGGACAAATCCAATTGTAAATGATTGTCTTAAATGCGCTCGCTTACCGATTATGATGCTCTCTAAGATTAGGTGGCATCATGCTTTGAGCTGCAGTTGGTGCTTTTATGCTGTTATGGAGGTGATGCTGCTGTTGTAGCGCTGGCGGTTTCTGTTGGTGTTGCGGTGGAACTGTTTGTGTTTTTATTAGATTTTGTCGTATTGGTGCAATGGTTGATTGTATCGTTTGGGACTGAGCTTGTGGCCGTGGTGGCAAAATATTCATAGCTGTCATACGTGCTGCCGGCGCATTGTTACCAACAGTACCAGCAGTTGCATGCATCGGCGGCATATGATGACCACGCATGTGCAATGCAGGACGTGGTGCATGTGTATGATGTTGCATTATTGCAGATTTGTAGCTTTGCTGGAGTCACAAACAGCGAAACAGCGAAACAACTGCAAAACTGCAAAACAAAACAAGTAAAAATATTATTTATCTTAAGCAAAATTATGCAAATAACTACAATAAAACAGAATTATAAAGATCATGAAAAAAAATTAATTCATTGTTTTGATAGAATGAATATTTTTCAACACATTTAATAGGCGCGAAAATAAAGGAGATGAAGACCTTAAAGATACAAATCGAGTTGCAGCAACTGCAATTTAAGGTTTTTGATCTTGGAAGAACTCATCAGTATAAAATAAATGCATAAAAATGCATTATGAACTGTATATACCATATATATGCGTATGTGTGTATGTGTCGAAGACAGCATATAAAGTCACCCTAAAGTGCAATTGGAAATTGTGGAGTTTGTTTACTACCTAACATACAGTTAACAGACCGACCGGAATGTGCATTCATTCCATTCCAGTAGAAATTTCAACAGTTGCACTTTTTATTATTAATAATGTAAATGTGTGGAAATATTTGCAGCTGCAAGTTTTAGAGTTCATCTCATCAGGCTGCATGCTCACTTGGAGGGTTTTATGAACTTTCTAAGAAGTGTAAAAGAAAGGTTTCTACGTTATTGATCACTTTTTCTGTATTTGTATGATTGTATACATATTATATAGATTGAAAAATAATGTAGAGCACGATAGAGAACGCTCAGAACAAATCCAAATTATTTGGATGTATTTCCTAATTACTTTATATAGTGACAAATAGAATTATATCATAGTCTAATTATAATTATGCGTAACTAGAATATATATCACTATATTTTATAATGAAATATTGTAAAACAAATAAGCTAAAATAGTTATTGAAGAGCCAAACCTTAGGAATAAGAGGAGATATTTCTATATATTGAATAATTTTATTATGTTCGATTTTCAGAGAAGTCGTGAATATCATTATTACAACAACACAGTAGTCAGTGATATTTAATACTTTCCCTAATCGAATTAAATATAATTTAATAAACTAATAAACTATTTTTCAGAATGTTCATTTAATATTATCTATATAAATATACTTACTGTGTGTAAGTAATAAAATTTTTTTTTAAAAAAGTACTACATTTTATTTTTGTTCGATTGGCTAAATAAAGGAAAAAATGTTATCAACGACATAGTATGATGTATCATATAAAGCAATTCTTCGGAACCAATGTAGAATTGCGACACAATAACGTAAGGGTTAAATTCCTGTGTAATAACCCTGAAACCTGATTAAAGAAGTGCCGTGTCTGAATAATAAAATAATTTATATATAATGTAATTGATAAAAACTCATAAATAACCGTTTATACTCTTTAAAATACTATTCCAATTGCTACAATATAAATAAAGAGCAGTAAATAGTTCAATAGATTTGCTATATTCTTAGAAAAGTAATTACCGGTAGTTAATGTACTAACAAACACTATATTGTTACATACGAAAGCAATGTGTAGTATAGATATTCTTATTTATTACAATTACTACTATTAGAAAATATAAGTAATATAAATTAATGTTCATGATGGTTATACATAATTAATTGAATATAATAATACACATGTGTACATATCAACATGCAAATATAAATACATAATGCAGCATTATTTAGCACATCCAATGAAAACTATTAAATAAATAAATAATAAGTAATTATTCAATTATAACATTTTTTACGCTGCTAAATAAAAGTGTACACTCCGAAAACTATTAAAAGAAATTGTACTGAGAGAAATGGTGGATTTAACCATTGACACGATGACATTTGCATTCCATCGGTCAATTATAGACACATTACCAAAGAAACTCTAATATAACATTAAAAATAGTGCAGTCTAGTTTTTTAATTATATTATATTTTTTATTTAATAAAATTTAGTATTGAAAATATATAAAGTTATACAACAAACTATTTTTGTTTATAATTTTTTTCCAACTACATAAGAATTTTGCAATTTTGATATATAATTTTCGTAACACTCACCTTTAAATATAAATTAAAACAATGTTTACATATACTTTCAAAATATATGAAAATTTATATAAAAGCCGTTTTTATGTTTTTCATTGATATTAATTTTTGTTGTCTGGCAAATTTATTGATTTTGAACTTCTTCACTTCGTACTACACTTTTTGTTACGTTATTGCTTTTCTTTTTTACAACACAATATTTTCGTAGATCTATAATATTAATTTATATAAACGATGAACTTTTTGACGATTTCTTATTATATTAATTAATATTTATAAACTTAAACATATGTTTTCTTATAAATTATTAAATCTTTTTTACGTCCGGGGATGGAACTCGACAAATAATAAAAATGAATACAAGAAATTAGAAGCGCCAATATGACAAGACCACGAAAATAGTGTTGTAAAAGGTTTTAACCATACGCAAGAGTTAAAGAATTTAAGCGAAATGTGACATCTATATAAAATGTGTACACAATTCATACAAATAATATATAAATAAATTCTATTTAAATTTGTATATAAATAAAAATTTAAACAAACTTATTTATTACACAAATGTACACACAAATAATAATAAAAATATAATACATAATTATTTTATTAATAAAATATTAATAAATATTTAATTAGTATAACAAACGTGCTTTTCAGATTAATTACTGAAAATTATTAAGATAATTATCAAATAATATTTTTGTTCTTAAGCCCGTTTTTATACAACCTTTTTTTTTTGTAACTTGAGCTCTTTCGGCTTGAATTGATAAAAGCTCGTTCACACAGCAAATTGTAGTTTTAGTTTTGTTTTTTGTGCTTAAGTGAGAAAATGTCAAAACCTGTTATGCTGTATTCACAGTATTGCTATACAATTCTATTATTGTAATTAATTTCAACCATCGGATTTTTGTAAGAAATCGGATTGTTATTTAAACTTAATATTGAGAGGAAGCGAATTAAATGATGCGAAGGAAAATGTGGAAAGAGTGATAATTCCTTTCATTTATTTGTTAACATCAATTTTTTATTATTATTGGTATAAAGTAATTTTGAGCATTTTGATATATTTCTAACTCACATTGCAACGTAGAGTATTACACTTAAGTTTTAATTTCGTTTGTTATTGCAGTTATTATAGTAGTTTCCAAAAAGAAATAACGTATTTATAAATAGAAAAAAATTAATTAAATTTATAATAATTAATTATTAATTTACTAAAGTAACTAACTTGATAAAGAGCAGCAAAAATCTTCATTTTGAATATAAAATCTATATAGAAAATAATAATTTCGTTCGATAATTTTGAAAAAATAATTTTTAAAAATGTCATTCGATTGAAATAGAATAAAAAATTCAACTTCACAAAAGTGAAAAAATACATATATAGCGCTCTTAACTTATTATTTTTATTTTTAGTTATCATAATTTGATATATTATAAGAATTTAATCACGATATGTAAACGAATGCAATTAATTAGCAAAAGCATCTAACATAACAATATGAATAATTAAAAAATAATAATTAAAATTTGAATTATAAGAAAACAAATTATATTAATTAATCTTTAAGAAAACGTTTCTACTGCTAATTATATAATTATTCAACATGTACATATTTATTTATGAAAATGCTTCCATATTTTACAGCTGGGTCTTTATTTGACGTTGTCAGCTCCCACGCTAAAGCAATAAAAAAATTAAATAACAACAATAAATATTAAAATTTTTACTGCCAAACTGTTCACCTGCTGATTTAAACGGCATTAACTTTGACTAATTGATTTTAACCATTTTAAAATTTGAATAGCATATAATTTATTCAAAAAAAGTTATAAATTGTTCTTAATCGAATTAATTAGAATTTTTTTAATTACATTTAATATAAATTTATTTTTTAAATTTAATAAATTTTATTTATATACAATCTTTATATAATCTTTTGATAAGCATGATTTGAAAATTAAATATTTATGTGTATATGTGATAATTTATTTTATTTATAATATAAACGGCAATGGCGTTTTATGAATTTGAACTTAAACTAATACATATGTATATTAATTATATTATATTATATGTTATTATGCGAATGTCACTACATAAGCTTTGTTGTAAATTCATAATGAAATTAAATGTTATTGTTAAGTATTAGTTACTCAATATATAGTAAGGGACATGTATTGCGATATTGTCACAATACTTACGAATTTCTTTAATAAAACAACTGACAAAGATAATCACCTATAATAAATTAAGAAATTATGTGGTTTGCTGTGGTTTTTTTTTTGGCATAACTTATTGGTATTATTGTAATCATCATAACATCAGTTTTATTATCAGCGTAATTGAATCATTTCTGTAAATTTTGGATATTGTGAGCTTTAAGTGAAATAAATATACATACCTTGAAGCTGGGCTGCACCAACGCTATATAAGTTTAGGCTATCAATCGAACGTTGGTATTTACTAGAATTTCGAGTAAGGTAACTTAGATAAAAATTAGGTAAATTAGGTGTTTCTATTGTGAAAATTTTAAAAGATGTTTAATAAATAAATTTAAAAACTTTTAACTAAAAATAATAAATAATTGTAATAAATAAATAAATATTTACGTGGGTGCAGTGCGAGCTCGAGTAAATTGAGGTTTACAGAAGGCCCTAATATCATAATATGTTAATTCCTGTTCTGTATTGTTGATTATGTATTAAAAAAAAACTAAAATAAAATAAATTTTTCTGAGGATAAGATCATAGTTTTAATTTCAGAGCATTTAAATATATATAGTAATATCAAGAGTTTTAATTTATAAGCGAGAACAGCATGAACATAGCTGAACTTTTTTTATTTTGTTTGTCAGTATTATTTCTGTTTTTTCTTGAACTTGTTTCAGTAATAAATTTTTTCAATAATTTTTCCCATAATTTTTCTTTACTACAATAATATTCTATTCCATTATGACGCGATTATAAACCTTTATTCTGTTTCATACTAAGGTCATGTGCGAGTTAGGCTAAGTTGCGTTCTAAATGAGGGAAATTCTAAGTTGTGTCGATAATGTATTATGTGTCGATACGTGTTGATAAATGGCAAAATGTGTGCAGTGCAAAAAATCCCAAAAAATCTCCCATTTGGTTTAGCATCAACTTAGCCGAACTCGCTCACGTCCTAAATCTCATTAGGAAAATATCGGGTAATTGTCATCACCAATAGCCATTAGCTTATAGTGGTGTACTGAGCCACCAATAAAGTCTTCCATCTTTAACAATTACACTCCTCGTTTTTGTGGCTTGTAATCAAAAACTCTTTCTTTACTCTCTCTTTCCGCAATAAAATAATTAAAGGTGGCGCTAACTGCACTACACAATTTAATTAGTAACTCTGCATTATCGATTCCTCTGTCAACCGCATGCTTTTGAAAACCACACTTTTATTGCCGCTTAGACTCTAATAATGTATTAAATATCACTTACTTAATTATTTTAAATTAAATAAAAAATAAATTATGTATGTATAAATTAATAGAATAGTCACATAATTTTATATAAACAATTTTTGAAAATTTATGTGCATGCATACTTCTGCAATCCTGAACTTGACACACTACTTTCCCCAAAAACATCCGCAGACCCAAATACTGACAATAAAATAATTTATTTAAATTGTGCATAATTAAGTAAATAAATGTACAAAAAAAGCATGAAATTATGTTGTTACTGACTCTTCACAGGGGACACATATAGTAACATATGAAGCTGTATAAGGTGTATAATCGTATAATGCTTTGGACACTTGCTGTGCTCGGCACAGTCAAAGGGAGCTCATTCTTGCTTCTTCTTGTTTTCTGTCGCTTTTGGGAGCAGTTTAAATGCTTTAAACGTTGTTGCTGGAACGCTGAAAAACGAACTCTAAATTGATTGTGTGTGCATTGATTAATTTACGGTACAAAATTAATCCGGAATTATTATGAAATTTTACTCATTTCTTCTGTCCCAAAAAAATTTTAATCTCTTGTGTATTTTTTTGTTTTGATGTTTTGAGTGTTGTCTGCAAATTGTATAAAATGATATAAAAAGTAACAAAAAAAAAAAAAAAAAAAATTAATTTATTTTGGTGGAAAATTAGCATAGTTAGGTGAATGTTGCGTATGCAGCGATGGCTCGGATTTGTGATGTAATTTTACTTTTTGTTCACATGTCAACCTCAACGTTTGGTATGCAAAATTCGTTACAAATATTTTCTTGGTATTTTTTCTTTTGGATTTTATGAACTTTTCAGTTTAAAAACAACGAAAAAAGTATATAATCTTGTTATGTGTGGTGGCGTTAATGAGATTAAAAAAGCTAAACTGGATTTCACATAGGACTCTTAGTACGGGAAATGGGGATTGGATTACAGATATTCTGGAATATCGACAAAAATTAGTTTAATTTTTGTTTAAGAATTGAATTATTAGGAAATCCAACCATGATTCCCTGTGTTAATCTTAAAAAAGGTAGTATTTCAAGAATTTTAAATGAAACAATCCAGACATCATTCAGGTTTTTATGGAGGCTATATGGAAGTACTGGGCTCATTTCAATAAAATCTTTAGTTGTCAATAATATTAAAACCTATAAATATAGTGACGAAAATGCTTTCAACAAATTTTAAGGTGTCAGTGTCTTCAAATTAAATCTTTGTAAGGAGCATTTAAGGAATTAATAATATACTTGAACATACTTATACATATATTACTATAATATTAAGAATAACAATAACGAAAACAGCAAATAGTAGTGAAAGTAAAAAATATTTCCCTCGAAAATATCTGTTCAAAAATAATATCTTATAAATACATAACTTCAGTTAGATAAAATACTTCAACACACATTATGAAGTGTAAAGTGTACGAAATGCTTTAGTAATAAGGATTATGTAGTATTTCAATGTCAAACCTTTCCACAACTCGTTTTGAGAAGAATAAATTTGAAATCCATTAGATTCGCTATTTCATTACCTACAGTGAAGCACACTTTTGATATATAATTTAGCTTAATAGTTCATGGATTCAGGTTCGCAAATCCAGCGACAAGTGACTTTTCTTATTGAGTTCTTATAATACTAGACTTCAATGACAAAAACACAATATAAAACTCAATTCAGAATATAGAAAAACTTTTATAATCCATAATTCATCATACTGCACTTTTCTTGCAAATATGATATGGAGCAAATCAAAATTAGAGGATCTCTTTTTTTTAAAGACAGAACTTCATTACAATCCCAATTTTCGTACTGTGTACCACAAATGGATTATATAGTATTTCGTTTTAAAATCTTTCCATAACTCGTTTTGGGAAGACAAAATTTTAGATCAATCA